AGAAATTTTACCAGATTGCTCGGCACGCTCCATATTTTATGAAAAAAGAGCGATTTTTTAAAGTTTTAAAGAAAATAAATAAAGGTTTGTCGAAATTATAGCATTTCATATAGATCATCGCATTTGTTACACAAAAAATCGCACTAATTAATTTTTATAAGGGACTATACATATAATGATTTACATAGTACATTGGACACCCCAACGATATATATACAAGTATATATATTATAATTATAAATATAAATATAATTAAAATAACATTTATCACGAACAATGCAACGAAAAATAAGCCAAAATAGATAATGCATTACCAAGCATTGACTATTTTAATGTTGAACTTATACTAAAAGGTTTGTTAAAAAAAATATATATATAGAAAATAAATTAGAAGTTTTATCTTTCGAATAAAAATCTGTATCGCGAAATTAAAGTTAAGATCGTCGAAAGCCGGTAATGATAACTATTTTTAGAAGATGTTCAGACGTTAAAGAAAACAGCTATATAATCCATGGAATTCACTTTGAAAAAAAAAATTTTTAAACATAAAAAAAACTTTTCAATAATTAATTCATTAAAAATTAATAAATTTTAATCAATAAAGAAAAAGAAATCATATTATACACGTAATAATATTTAAATTTATTATAATAATTAAATTTAAAATGGAAACAAAAATGCCAGTTGCTGAATTTTCCTTAGATGGATTGGCTGATTCCTTAATTTGTCAACTTGACCGTTCAAGAATCTTTCCTCCTTATCATAACGATGCAGAAGAATATGTTATAGCAGCACATTCAAAAAATAAAATACCGAAAAGGTCACCAAATGCATTTCTTCTTTGCCGTAAAAATGTTCATAAAGAAGCAAAACGACTTGGCGTTTCCAATATGCGAGTAATAAGTAAAGTAACAGGTATTCTTTGGCGCGAATCAACTGTTGAAGAAAAAGAAGTTTATGAAGATCTTTCAGTAAGTAAAAAAAAATTATTATTTCAAGTAATTATTAAAAATAATAATTTTTTAACATCATATATATATATATATTTATTTATTTATTTAGAAATATATTCGAGATATTTATGTTCAACGAGATAATTCAGTCGCCAACAGTCATTATATCTCTAATAGTAGATATATGCCTTATGCAATTCCATATCCACTATCTTCGCCTCAGAATATGTATTTCCCACCTACTAATAGCGTTATACAAAATAATCTACCAGTTGATATCCTATCCTTTATGCATATGATTCAACCAAATCGTGTTCATCAGCTTTAGAGTTTAATTTAATATTACTAGAATTAGATTAAATGATTAAATTTTAATTGTACAATTTATTATTTTATTATATATTATCATATTATTAGTTAATTTTCCTAGTTAAATATTTTAATAATAGCGTAGAGGTAATAATTCAAACATTTAGAAAAAAAAAAAGCATCGTTTTTACATAATACTGTAATACTGTACTCTTAGAATATATTCTTAATTAGATCAATATAATTGAATAAATGTGTAAACAAAATCCTAATACTTTTTTTGACAGTGAAAAATGTTGCGTATTTTTAGTATATGTGTAATATGTGTATATGTAAACAACGGCAGGTCTCTGAACTTTGCCTGGACTTTATAATCTTACAACTCTTACAACTCTTACAAAAGACATTGGTTAGCCAGAATTTCTCTACTCTTTATAAGAGATCTTGGTTGGTTGACCTGAAAACTCAATTTTTTTAATACAGTAATAACAGAGGACAGGCTACAAACATTCCAAAACACGTGATTTAAGGAAAGTGGGCGAATGTTTGTTAAAAATAAAAATTTGCTATTTTTGATTATTTGTGATCTCAGACACTCAGGAACTTTAACAATGTCTCAAACTTTTATTAAATTAGTGTTACATTACGTGATCGCGTTTGTAATAGCACGTTAACGTGTCAATTAAACCGTTGACATGCTAGGAAACTACGCTAGGCATATCTAACATATAGCATGATGATTTTATATATAAAAGTGAAATAAACAATTTAATAAAGATAAAGTAAAAAAAATTCTTATTGGTGACATTTTCTAAAATGTTTAAAATGTTTAAAACGTGTACGTTTGTTGGGGATTCCCATGTACTGTAGATTATACACATTCATTCTATACTTGGGTTATTCATCCCATAATGCTTAATCGTATTCGCGGATGATCAGGTTTGTTAGAGCTTGAGTTTCGGTAAATAACCTATTTAATCGTAAATCCATATTACAAAAGAAAATCTATTACAAAGTGAATTCTTAAATCTGAAACTACGTTGAGATCAAATTTAATAGAACTACCTTCAATGTCGCATAGTTACGTGCCACTAAGTTGATCATAAACATTTAAATAAATCGATACATAATGATAACAGATATCATGCGTACGTACGTACGTACGTAGAAAAGGTAGAACGTAAAACGGGCAGATAAGTAAAAATGTTAGATTTAAAAATTTTTTATACCATTTTTCATGGAATATGCAATATTGCAATACTGCAATAACCTGATCAAGTGAGAATCATTAATTTTATTTGTTTAGGTGACTTTATTAACCATCCTTAGAGATGTAAATCTTCTATTAATTAATCGGGTTATACAATCCGGTAGAGCCATTTTGCATCTCTAACCAAATTTTTAAATTGGACTAAAATAGTTTAACCTAATTTTATTTCTATATATTGCTTATGTTCGGTACACAAGTTTATCTCCGAAATGATCAACCTAGCATTTTTTCTAAATTTTTTAAACTGGTATCACATAATCGCTAGAATTTTTCTTTTTTTATACTTACCTTTTTTTACTAGAAAATGCACCAGATAGTGATGTTCCTTGCGCGAGATTGCAGAGATTGCAGGATTGACTTGGCATGCATTAATATCGCATGACTTTATGCGAAGTGATCGCTAAAATTTCGTTAATTAAATTTTATTTCGTGAAAAATACACTATGAAATTTTTGACACAATTTGCGCGAGTATATCATCATCTTGCGTGAAGATATTCTAGATATTCTAGATATTCTAGTGTTAAAAAACAATGAATTGATTTATTATTAAATTAAAAATGACAATGGTATTTCTGATATTCGATCTATACCTTAATTAGTACAGTACAAATATTAATATTAGATACAGGATTATTAATACTTCTTATTTGGGTATAGTTTCTAAATATTTATTAAAAGTAGCTTTATTTTTTACAAGACGACAAAATATAAATATTACACTCTACCATCAATGATGTATGAAGTATATTAATTTGAAATTGTTTTTTTTTGAATTTATATGAAAGAATTTCAGATCTAAAATCAATTTAAGTTGATTTTGGTCCTTAAAATAGCTTACAAACGAGCAACAAAAAATTTATTTACAAAAAGTTTAAAAAATATCGAACCAATAAAATATTCTTTTACTAATAATTACTTTTTTAATTAATAATAATAAAATATTTTTAATTAATGTTAATAAATATTTTTATAAAAAATATTTATTATGGAGCCGACAAAAATATCAGGTAGTCATAGGTCATAGCTCCTCAGGGAATACTTTTTCGACAATGCAATTTGATATGTTGTACTAAATTGCATTGTAAATGAGTTTTCCCTGGGGAATATAATTACCTATTATTCCCCGTTTTATTAATTGTTTTTTTATGGATTTACGTGTTATTTTTGCAATGACTTCATTTTTAAGCTCAGTTGGGAAATAGCTTCCGGTCGGCCATTAATAAAACGAGGGAATAATGCATTTATTCCCGTTACAGGAAATAAATAATATATTTGCCAGTTCCTTTATATATATATATATGTGTGTGTCGAAATCCTTTTTTTTTTCTTTTATTTTAATTTTTATAAACTTGCTGAATTATCTAAAATAAAAAATTAAATAATTGTTAAAAAAAATCTCAATAGTTTTTTTAAAAAAACATCAACAGTAATAAATTTTAAATAAGATTTTTTAATAGTTTAAGTTTTACAGTTTAGTGCATAAGTTTTTAAACTCTTACAAACTTATTTATAGTTTGAGTCCGGTTAAAGACTAAAACACTTTATAATCTAATTAGAAGCTATCTATCAAATATAAATCTTGTAAAAGTTTAAATAAAGTGTAAAATTTTTTAAATATATAAATAATAGCAATATTACAAAAAATTTAATTATTTAAAAGTTGTATAAATAAGTTTTTTACTAATATTATTTAAAAATTTCGATTAAAATAATATAAAAATGACAACTGTTATTGTCACCCTCATATTTGTCATTGCTACCTGATCTCTGGCCTATATTACATAATATACCAGTAATTCAAAGTTTCCATGTAAATAGCCATTATGTGCTCCTTCAGCATGATTCAAATTAGCAGCTTTTGATAAAATTTGAAGGCCTTGTATCCGGTTCTACCCTGAAATCCCGAAAGGACAAAATACTAACTAAATTGGCCAGCATTATAACTAATGCTGGCTAACTTTGTCGGTATTATGTCTTTTTCGGGAATCTGTCTTTCAGGATTTTAGGGTAGAACTCTTGTATCCATCTACAACAGTCCCAATTCCTCTTCGATAACATTTTCCAAGTTCAAATATTCTATTAGCGTCACCTAAATTCGCAGCCTTTTGATAACAAATAAATCTTTTTTTTTTTTCTTCGCTCATATACAGATAACTTATATACAAATATTGCTGACAAAGCTCTTCACAACAATCCCGATGAAATCGTTCCTTAACCATTTCTTGATGCAAACATAAACACTCAGATTTGTAAGATGCTTGGTTCATTTTAAAATTTTAAAACCAACATCAATAAACCTATTACAATAACATAGGCAGAGCTTCGTTTAAATTGTTAACGCAGGCTCTTAAAATCGTGAAATGTTGATTTGCCAAACCTGTAACATTAACGTGATTATAACTATCTCGGATATTTATAGTTAGTTTGTATTACAATAAAGTAATGAAATCTTAAGCACGCACGTATGTACTAAAACTTTTCAAATGATGACATACAATACAGTATTAATAACCTCTGGCATGATTATAAAAACTTATTTTTATGTGCACTTGTAAACCGCAAATGGTGTAGAATTATTATATTAATATTGTAGAGCGAACCAGTGCATCAATTTAGTGATATAAGGTTTATAAGAATATTCCTTTTAATGCTAAATGTTGAAGAACAAGCTCTATTAATTCCTTTTAAAATTGACTTTCCAAGTTACCCGAAAATGGTGTTAAATGTTCTTTAATTGCAATATTTTTTACAAATTGACAAATATCTTAAACATTTAAAACTTTATAAAAATATTTGTAATCAAACAATATTTAAAAATCTTTATAAAAATACTACTATTACCTCAATTGATTTATGGAGTATTTATGATGTTTTTATATCTAAGGCAATAGACATATTAATAACGATTCTTTATAAAATTCTACTTTGATTTCTTTAAATTTTAAATATAACCAACTTGGGTTTGAAGAAGTAAAAAAAACTATTAGAGGCTCTTGATAAAATTATTGTTATAAATTCCTTTATTGAAGAAGAATGATATTAGCAAACTTTTTTTCATATTCAACTCTTTCCGATAATCATTTGGACCATATTTTCTGAAAAACTTTTTGACTAAAAAACAGTAATGTACTGCAAGAAAAATGTAAGACATGGGAAAAGAGTGTAAGAAGAACCGCACTTGTCGTTTAGAGGTAGTTCTCATATGCTACCTGCCAACAAGCTTAGAGTTTATCACTTACAGAAGCATGGCACTTGTCATTTAGAGATAGTTCTCATATGCTATCTGCCAACAAGCTCAGAGTTTATCACTTACCGAAAAAACTAAGTACTGTGCAAATTTGTAAAACATCTGTTAATATCTTTAGAACTCACACTCATTTGAATATGTGCCAGTGGTCTCTTCTATTTTTTTTGCTTTTTGCTGTTCTTACCAAAAATTTCGACAAAAAAGTAGGCATTTTAGCTTACCCCCTCTAAAAGATCAGCATTGTTTACACCTACCTAATTCGGACGAACTCAGTAAAATACAACCATGTGTTTGTTTTGTTTATTAATATAATGCTACGATATGAGGAAGAGATCGTCACCTCTGTTTAGAAAATACCTGAGTCGAGTTGGTTTATAATCAAGATATAGTAATTAGTTACAATTATTATATAATTTTTATCTTTATGTCTAGCACAGGCTATAATAGTGTGTCATGGCTACTTTCTTTTTTTTCGCTTTTTTCATCTTTGTTCATTTATA